GTACGCCATGTATAAATTTTAACAATACACAAAAATAGAGTTTTCGCACGAGCGTTTGTTTGTGGTGGTTTTTTGGTTTTTCAACACCATTTATAATTTTCTTTTAATAAAATCACGATTTGACAAATACTTAAATTTATTTATCTAATAATAATACAGCACACAACCCTGAAATCTAAGAAAAAGTCTGAGGAAGGCCATTAAATAGCAGCACACAACCCCGTGCCTTCCTCAGGAGTGAATATAACTACAACAACAACGACTACTACAACAACAACCCAAAAAGGTTGGTTACTGTCTATACTGTGAATTTCTGAGAACTGTGAATTCACCACGATGCAATACAGAAAGGACCCGGGATGTAATTTTAAGTAAACCTATTATTCAGTGGCAATGCGCAGAGCGTCCCGAGTGGAAAAATTAAATTGCATCAAATATAACATTAAACAGTGGTTCTAATCCATTTTTCATATTATTAATCAGAGTATATACATTAAGGGCCGGTTACTCAGGGCCGGTTGTTCAATGTCTGGTTATCACTACTTGCCGGTTAAACATCATAATCGACGATTTCGACATCATGCATATAACATGTGATCGATAAGCAGTCGGAGCTTCTACCTCCGATTTGTGCTAATCAGACATTGAACAACCGGCCCTCAATGTCTGGCTAACACTAATCTGCGGTTAAACATCGTTATCGACGTCTTCCACTCCATGCATATAACAGGGAGTGGATAACGTCGATAACGATGTTTAACCGCAGATTAGTGTTAACCAGACATTGAGTAACCGGCCCTAAATGGTATTTCTTTCAAAAATTAATGCACTATACGGATATTTTTTTTTTAATATTTCTTAAGTTTCTTGCGTTGGTGCTGAAAAGCAACCATGCGTGTAAGAAATTGTATGCTACCTAAAATTTCACCTCTGGAAACTTTATCCCCATCAAGGACTTCACAACAGTTTTTTTTACTGAATATACTGAGATTTGCAGGACAGCGCGCAATGCGCTGGTGTTCAGTCATCCTCTAATTTCTTTTAGGTATCGATATTACAAAGAGCCAATTTACACGACGACTTTTCACCCTGCGTTTTTGACACGTTCCCTTTTAAAAAGTCTTCGAAAATCCTCGCGCATTTACACGATGACTTTTGCTTTGCGGCGTTTCTTGCGTATTTTTGACATTTAAGCATCAAATTTTCTTTGGTCAACTCTTTCGTCCTTATTTTTAAAGCGGAGCGAATCGCGAACTCAAAGCAAAAATACGAAAAAGTGAACTCGATAAAGCTCGTCGGCGATTTCAAGCATCCGTTGTTGGTTACCCCAGCAACGAGTACATGTGTGAGTGTCGGGTTGAATGTCGGGTGCTTGAAGCTTGCCCGGCGACACTCAAGCATAAAGCGTCAACACCATTTGCAATAAAATTTCGTAGTGGGCGGACGTAAACATGTCTTCTTCGG